GTATGTGTGTGTGTGTATGTATGTAGATATGTCTGCAAGCAGAGGCTAAGGAACATTGAGACATTGACGAGGCCGTACTTCCATTTCCTGTCTCTTCACCTACCTGCACTTGTTCCGCAGGAGGCCAGGGAGCTGTGAGAACTGGAGACTGCGCCACAGGTCGGTTAAAAAATGCCAATTTGGGGATGCTGGTCAAGAGTTGTGCCTTCTTCTTCTATGCTTTTGCGTATCCTTCCTGTATCTTCCTGCTGATTCTGTTGCCTTCTGACTGTCTTGTCCTTTGCTCCTGCTTGGTTGTGCCGGCCTGTTCTGAACAGAGCTTCTCCCGCAATGCCGACCCTGCCACAATGTTCATGTCACGGGTTCTGGTTTAATTATCATCTTCCCTTTCAACTCAGTACCTGATTCAAACCCCTGCCCTACCTGCCGAATTCAAACCTTGCAGTCCTACGTCCTACGTTTTAGGTTGATTCTTGCAGCCTGCAGTTTCCGCACCACGCCTGCAGTCCTGCGTTCCCGCGTCCGCTGCTGGCTACCGTACATGCAGTTCTGGGAGAGTTATGGGAACGGGAACATTTGGGAAATGATTTCAACTTGCACTGTCAATCATCCGGTTTCGGATGCTGTGCTATTCCCTAAACTCTAGAGGTTGACGATTGATTATCACTCTCCCATCTCTCAGCCCTCGAAGCGATCCCTTAAAGGTACTCCGAATCATCCACACGTTCCTTTGACCTGACCAATTGAAAGAAGACTTTGTGTGCTTTCCCAGACCAAATGCAGACCGTATATACGATGCCAATATTGAGGGGATTTTTGGAATTACAGGCAGTCGTCAGCTGCATCCGCAGCAGGTTTTCGACCTGAACAACCTTTCATCTGAGACGGAAGCCATTGCAACGTCAAATCTCAGCCTTGTAAGTGAAGCGATTGAGGCGCATAGTTCCAACACCTTCTGTTGCCAAGGCACATGTCCTTTTTCGATGCCCAAGGCCTCGTTCTGGGACTGGAGAGTGGTGGCCAAGTCGTGCACCTTCCCGTCGTGCAGTCTTGAAGTTCTTGTACAGATTACGATGCGGCTTGCTGGTGCACTCCGGCGAATGAGGCGGCGTGTCGGTCTATTCCTGGAGAAATCAGCTTCCGAAAGAAGCCTTGCTGAATCCGATGCAGTGCAGGTGCGAGCCTTGCCCTTCATGCCGGTTGGCTTCCGGGAAGCACCTTGCACTAGAGGGGTCGGATTACCTAACCCGTCCCAAGCCGCCATTGGCTTCCCAAAAAGCTCATTGGTCCCTTTGCGGGGGCAATGATACACCACCTATGGAACTTGCTCACTAGAGCTCTTGTCAATGATCTCTGTGTCAAGCTTTGACAACTTCGAAGCCGAACTACAAGTTGCGAACCTCGATTTCGACTCCCGCAAGGGCGAGCCTCCATGTTAGTCGAGCTTTGCTCATGTCTGAATGACAGGCCGTTTTTTGAAAGACTCTCCGACATCTTCATGCTCAGCCCAGCTTGGACTCTAGCCTTGTGCCTGGGTCTTGCCCATCTCACTTCAACGGCTTCAAAACATCTGGAGCCCACTTTTTGTATTGTACTGTTCGAATTTCAGAAGGCACATCCAACGGTGTTCCTGAATGAACATGAAAGTGCCAAACAAGCGCTGACTAACAGTCACATCCCACGGAATTGTCACCGCTACCCCACTCCAGCCAAGCTTCTCATGATGCTATCGGTCCTCAGCTAGAGCCGTCTGGCGAGGTTGCGACTTCACGTTCACATCGAGCAATCCCATACATAATTGCACTTCCGGTTGAATTTGCGTCCACTCTTTCCGTCAGGAATCCCAGCAGGTCGTGAATGTCTGCGTGGTGTCCAGCTCTAGAACACCACTTGCAACGCTCTAGCTCAATAGTGGTAGTGCACGGTAGTGCTGCAGGTCATCGCTGCATCACTTCTGAAGAGCTACAGAGGCATCTGCATGTGCGCTTTGGTGTGCAGTGTGCAGACGATCAGGTGGCAGGAAATTAATTACAGCTGGTGTCTTCAGACCACCTGCATCCGAGGTTCATGGTCGTGTCTCAGGACAAGCACTTGGGCACAGGACTTTGCAAAAGCGGGCGCACGCTTCGAGCCAAAAGGCTGCAGCATGTTACGCCCTGGAGACTGTGAAGGCAGGCACAGGATGTGCCCTCCGCTGAGCTGGCTGGGGGCTTTCTTGACTGAAGGTCTTTTCTGGCCCTTGGTGCTCTGTGCTTGATCATGCAAAGGCTTTGCTGTCGATAACATGACGATTGCTTCAGGAGACCTCTACCCGCTGTTGCAGGTTCCAAAACATCTCGCCTACCGTGCCCACGCCATCTTCAATTCCTTTCGCCTAGAGGCGGTGGAGTTGCGTGCCATCACCGAAGCCCGGCATGTCGACAAGATACACAGGCCTGTGAGCATTTTTGGCCAGGCGTTTGTAGATTCTGCATGCTATACCGCCGCAGTTGACACACTATCTAATCACAGTGCCTGGCAAGCCCGCAACCGAAACAACGATACTCAGGCCTGAAACGCAGGTCCGAGTCAGGATGCAAAGCACAAAGCACTTCGTCCGTGCGCCCCTCCTGTCGCGGAGAATGGGGACCGGAGGAGCTCGTGCAAGTGAGCACGTGTTGAGTGGGCTCTGGGTGCCTGCTGCGAGGGCCAGGCCAGCTTGTCATAGGTGCTGAGATCTACGTGGCCTATTGGGGACTAACTCGAAAAGGTCACACGCAGATCGAAAGGGACTGGGAAAATTGAAAATGACTAAACGCTTTGATAACAAGCTGCGACATGTTCGACACCGAAATGCGGTTTGGCAAAGCGAAGCAACCCCATCGAAACTTGAGGGATTTCCACAAGCCAATCGAAACAGATTGGAGATGGGAAAGGAGAGTACGCCGTCTGAAAGGGACCATGACGCAGGGGTGTAAACTCTTTCAGAAGCGGTGGTTTGTAAGCGGTTCGAACGAGACTATGGAATTCGCACCTGTTGAGTGTGTGGCCTCATTGAAACCGACAACCGAGGACCTAGCAGACCTAGCTCATTCCGTTTGAACTGACTGTCCATGTAGTTCAGGCTGACAACCATGCCCGCGAGTCGAATCAGCTTCTATGGCTTGGGCAAGATTGGCAAGATAGTCACCAGCTCCGCCTCCGAGAGGCCCGCCCTCAAATGCGAGAGGCCAAACACCTGCAGAGTGCGGTTCGACATGACATGGAACGGGCTTTTTCTTGGAGGCCCAAGGTTGTTTGGAGCAGGCTCGTGATTCCTCTCTTCTCACAGGAGGCAGTCGCCGAAACGAATGCAGCGGAAGCGATTTGCACTCCTTCAAACTTCAGCGGAAGCGACGCGCAGGCTCTGGCCGGCCTCCCGAAAGAATGTGGTCTTGCCGGTGTCGGGTGAACCCGCAGTGACCAGCAATTGGACTCTGGCCTAGGTGGATCGTTGCTCGGGTTGATAGAGGGGAATAATTTTAGAGTTGGAGTAGAACATGCATGCCTTCACGGGTCACAACTCCAACATACTGTAAGTGCGCCTTGTGCATGTAGCACCAACCGTGGCCACAGCGAAAGGTTTTGAAAGGTACTTTTTGTGGCCACCGGCCTTGCTTCTAGCAGCAGCGATCCTATTCGAACCCGACGGGCAGCAGCCAATATCGAATGAGAGTAAGTTGATGGCGTGTAGCGAACGTAAAATGTCAAGCTACAGTCTAGTGATCGCAAGAAACCGAAGCAGCTGGCAGAATAAGTCTGGACATCTGAGGCTTGGCGTGAACGGAGTGCATGAGCAGTCTCGTGTGCTTGTAGCAATCAGTCCCAGACTTCGCTAGAGCTTGGACATGAGCACATCCGGGGCCACTGTCTAGACAGCAATGACACCTACTTAATGTCTATCTGAGCTTTGCGTTCGTGCAGGCTCCCAAAAAGTCTTGAAGCAAGGCTGAGCATTTCAGGTGTTTGATCTGAGATGCGGATGTTCGCGGGACAACACCAGTAACCAGTAGCCCTCAGAAGCTCGGGCTAATGATGCGAGATGGGGGCCCCTTGGTCTCGATACCGCAGCACATGGACATCTAGGAGACTTGCATGTATGCCTGAAGCTGGTGCGGGTTGAAAAGAGGCTCGGAGATGTAGCCCGCAAAGCCCGCTGCGTACAACAACCGATGACGAAACATACCAGGCTCAGATGGCCCTGTGTCAAGTGCGCGCCAGCGTACGTTCAGTGTGGGGAAGCCAAGGAAACTGAAGAGCCCCCCCAACTGAACTCCTGGCATGTCGAAATTGCAGGCTCGGGAGCCAGATGAAGCCGCATCAGCGTTAGCAGTGCCAAGGCTCGATCCCCTGCCTTTGGTACAGCTGATCAACAGCTCAGCCGTTAGCTGCTATAATCATGTCACAGCTATCTGTCCCTTTTTGTCACTCTGCCTTCCTGGCTCGTTCCCTTTGTACCGTGCTGCCCAAGCACAACTCCAAGGGTCTGTGCTTGAATGTGGCTCAAGAGCTCAAGAGTTCAACAGCCGGCTCTAGCCCCTGGAAGAGCAACAAGTGTACTGTGGGCTTACGGCATCGTGTTGACATGACATGTTTTTGAGGCCGCGGGAGATACTATCGTGAACGAGAGTGGAACAAAACTCGGCCCGGTAGAGTTGCACGGGGGGTTCGGGCTTTGTTGCACCAAGGCCAAAGTTACGTGCGCATCTCTGGGACGTTTTTGGAGAGCCGCCTGCGAAGGGCTTCCAGGGTGCCCCAGCACTATCTCACGCGACACAGGCCCACCCAGCAACCATCTTAAGTGTCAAGTCAGCCGGCAACTGAACTCGTTGAACCACATCGTCTTGCTTGGTTTGATTCCATCTCATAAAGGAGTTCCCCTTCGAGCAGGCCATGCTACAAACACAGCACCACAAAGCCAATTCGTCTCTGGTCGGTGCTGACAGATGGACTCTCAAGCGCACATTCGCCTCGTCGCAGTCATCGTTCTGCGTGAGGGTCCCTTCCTGACTCTGGAAAGGGCTGATAGGACAGGAACCAACTCTGCGACTGCTTCACCAGCCTACGACAAGCAAGCCGCACTCCCTGAGCTTTAAGCACATCTCTGTGCTTACCCAGACATCACTTCGCAGGAGTACAAATAGGCTTGAAACCCAAACCTGAAACAGCTGAGACAACAGAACGACACCTCGACCAAGGGTAGTCCAGATGTTTCACCGCAGCAGCCCCACATTTCCGGTATACGGAAATCCTAACTCGCAATCCAGGCCGGAGCACATCCAGCTGCTCACAACAGGAGCTGAAGCTGTGCCAAGCATTCCTAGTGGAGCGACAGCCGCTTGGTGTCTGTGATGTTGAATGTTCGAGTGGTTCCGGGTTTGCCATAAGCACAGGCAGCGCCATGGCTTTTGATGTCGGCACGGGTTTGAAACATACCAGCACCCAAACACAGTCGGTTGTGGCCCTGTTTTAAGTCTTCGGTGTCTTCTTCATGAGAGCTGAGAGCAATCTTCATGAAACATGACCCACACCCCTAGGGAGACCCACAGCAAAACCACCGAGCTGCACAACAACAGATGGACGCTAACCCCAACAGCCCAGAACCAGGATATTTAGACTTCGAGCTCAGCAGCCCGCATGCCCCTCCAGCTCGCCAAGGACCCTCAAAGGCTTCACAAACGCGAGGGTCACCACAGAGAAGGCCACCAGCCTGAAAAACAAGAAACTGCCCCTTAACAGAACTGTACGGCATTTCGGAGACGAGTATCCTGGATGTTGCTTATACTCACACTGCGGTTTCTAGCCCTGGCACTCCAGGAAACCCTGGACGTATCACTGTACCGAACTGGACGCGAGGCGGCTGATTTGAGGTGTCCACATATGATTTCCCCACCATAGCAAGTGCACTACTTGAAGCAAAAATTCGGAACCGATCAGGCGGCTGTCACAGGAATGGGAGCCTGCTGAAGGTTTGGCTTAGGTGGCGAAGCGTACGCGATGCTGCACGGGCCTTTATGGCTGTCAATGGCCAAATCCCAAATTTCGACTTCCAGCCCGATGTCACACAGAACTGGCAACCAGTAACCCCGAGACAGGGCTCAACAAATCTTGCGCCCCAACAAGATCAACAAGCAGCTTCGAAACGTGCTGCGGGAGAAAGATTGCATGTTGGAAACGAAAGCCCCGAGTAGCAATGTGGCCTCACACGAAAGGCTGGCCGGAGGACGAAGTATGAAGACACAGGGATGACGAGGGTTCCCGAATGCACCCGCCCAGCACGGTGCTGGAAGAGACAGAGATGCAAATTTGCAAGCCTGCTATTCGCGGAAAGCAACCTTTAAAAGACACGCTGGGTTTTGGAAAGCCTCTGAGCCCTCGACCATGGCAGACAAACCCATCAGCTTGGCGAAGAGCAGAACGCGTTGTGCCGGACCAGCAGAATCCCGATAGACCTCCGCAATCGTGATCTTCCCAACGGTAGCGGAGGAAGACTTCTGGAATCAGAATCTAGACCCTGAACAAGAGATTGTGTCAAGCAAGCAACCAACCCCCTCAACTCCCGATTCCAAGTTTCATTCAAGCCGCCTTCAGGATAGCAGGTGTGGCCTGAGGAATGCGCAGCGCCAACGCATGAGGGATTCAGGTCTTTGATCGTTTTTGTCATACGTGTCTTCTTCGGTTCGGGGCACAAGGACACAACATTGACAACCCAGAAACTCAGGCTACTATAGTAGAAGTTTTGTGCTGTGACATGCTGTGAACACCCTGAGCCAAACCCTGCAGCCTCAAAGATCTCACCAGGAGTAAGCTGGAAAGATGAAGTCTAGTCGACGGCCGCAGAGGAGCCATGTGCCCTCTAATCTGCTTCATCTGGGATCGAAATATTGACTGGTGGCTCGCAAAGCTCGGACAGGATCGTGTGCTAAGTATCCTTGGCACAAGCTGTGCACCAGCTTGTCATTTATGGAACACAGTTCGGTGTTGCACTGGTTTCTCACACAAACCGGGCAGTCCGGAGGTTACGACCGAAATATGCCGAACCCATCCTGCCAAACAGCATGCTGTCAGTTTTGTACGAGGGCAGACGCACCCCTTCAGAAGAAGGATGTCACAAATTTTGGGATGGGATGGTTCGATCGCAGCAGTGAAAGGTCCGGCAGGGCTGAGCTATCGTGGAACCGAAGTCGCCAAGAGTCGCAAAAATGCCTCTGGGTCTGACAACGTCTCCAGGTGCACAGCTCTCGCCTGCGCCGCGGATTGTTCTCGCATGTGGCCAAGAGGGTCTGAAGTTCCAGGATGGGCGGTTCGAGACCAGATGCAGAAATCGGATGTGCCCGTCGTAATAAACCTCGATGCTTTCTCACTCTGTATCTCCGACTTTGGCAACTTGCTCCATTTATGTGGTTCGTTTATCGCGCACCCTGCTCCTTAATTCAACTGAACAGCACCGAGCCTGTTCCCTTGCACAGCCCACAGCAGCATGTCGCAGCGCTTCCAGCTCTTCGGCCTCCACGCTTGAGGTTTTGGGCTTGTCATGGCTTGTCAAGGCCGGTCACTAGTCCGAAGCAGTGGTTCAGTGGCTGGATTGATATGTTGCGTACGGGTAGATTCTGAGCAGATGTTGGCGATTGGACTTGCAACACGGGGAAGCAGCGTTTTTCCTGCAACTGAGGGCTCACTCAAAGAATGGATGCAAACCTCGGCTGGCGCTGTCGCGCCTGGCGGCAGAACTGCTGGTCCATGGCTTCCTTAGAAGCTGTGCGGGCAAAAGACCGTTTGGTGCAGAATATGGCCAGGCTACAGGGAACGGGAAGATTTTGGCCAACTAGAGAGGTGTCAAGCAATGCCGAAGGCTTTGTAAGCACATGAGACAGCCACACAATTCCCCAAGACGCAGCTGCCCGTTGGAAAGAGCCACTCGGTCAGATGCAAATACGATCTAACAGACAGCAGCAGATAATGAACCGCAAAACCCATCTACTTCTCCAAGCATCCGCGCCAGTAAAACCCAAAGGCTTGCCCCGTACTACACCCGTATACTGCCGGAGAAACGCCAGAAGCAGAATGCTCAAAATGGCCCACACTTGGCGTGAGTTTGGCGTTTTCCGTGCCGGGCCCCGGAGATTCCTGCATCCGCCATTTGGACAGAGCAAAGGCCTCTTCTCGTGCTGGGATGTACTGGTGAAGGTTTCTTTTGCCCTCGAAGGGCTGCAAGAGTAGGCGTAGTAGGATTGATCTTCAGGTCTCGGTGCTGTTGACAGGCCGAGGCAATTGGCGCCTCAAGGCTTTCATCGAAGACCGAGGCGCAGAATCGAGGCAGCTCTCAAAGCCGAGGGCTCGCTTCGTTACACGCAGGGAAGCCCTCGCGGAGCCGACCACGGCCGTCCTGCGAGCATAGGCGGGCGGATTTGAACAGATTTGTGCCTCAGTCATGACATGGCTTGAATCGACAGTCTTCGGATTTCCGCTCTCCATCCAAAACGGCATGACCACAAGCAACTCAGCGTGAACACGCGGCATTTGCCACGGGCACTGCACGTGGTGAAGCAGCAACTCTGATGCAAACTGGTGCGAGGAGGGCAGGCAGCCTGCAAGCTCCAAAACATGGAAGAGATCTCTCCACTCATACAGGCGAAGATGAACCAGCTTCCGGAAGAACGCGCTGAATGGGTTCACGCACGGCTGCCATCATCACGTGTTCTTCAAGTCAAGCGAACACCAAGCTCCAGAAGTACAAGTCCTCGCTATGCCGAGTGGGCCTAGCTGAAGGGTGTTGCCGAGCTCCTGCCAGGTTCAAGGCTTCTCTCCTCTGTCGATAAGCTATGCGTAAAGATTGCTCATGGCCGCCTTCCGGACAGATTGTTGTTAAGCAAACTGCAGTAGGATCCTGCGTGCACCTGTATGGATCGCTCGTTCTTTGGCTCGCTTACGCTCGCACAAGGCAGGGCAAGGCTTCACGACAAGAGGGTCCATTTGCACATCTCCATCTAGGAGCTTCTATCGTCAAGAATGTGCATCCTGACGCTCCGTTATCTGTTGCATCCTACCTCTTCCCCCCCAGAGCAGCTCTGGAGTCCAGAACCTCCCAGGCTGGTGTCTCCTTCCACGGGTTGTGCCCATCCAGCGCGCACTCCAAGTATCCCTTCCACATGCGACCAACCTCGCTGGGACTTCGCACCTCAATAAGCGCGATCGGGTGAGCCGTCAGCACTGGTGGCTTTGGCCGGCTTTGGCTTTAGTTATAGTCAAGAGTCTTGAGAGTTCACACTGCGCTTGGCAACCCTTCCAGACCCTACCGGTCATGCCGACATCTGAAATGAGCCCCGCGAAAGGAAACGGGTAATGCCACATGACCTGGATGCCATGGAACCAGATGCTGCCATCCAAGTGAAGCTGTTAGTCTGTTAGTTAGTGGCCAAGTTAGCCCACGAAAAACCACAAAGCCATTACAGTACAGTATGACTTCACCGTGTCAGTGTGCAACTTGTCTACGGTGTTGCACCTCAAGTTCATGGAGCCATATGGCGCCTGGACCTAAATTCCCTCGGCCTGTACTTTCCCAGAGCGCTGACAGGGCACACGCAGCGAGGCTGCCAGCTGGGTAAAAAACCGTCCCGCTAGGTCCAGAGCCTCCTGTCCAGCGGAGTAAAGTGCTGAAAGTTCGCCAACACCAGATCCAGACTCTGCTGCTGTTTGCGCCACCCGATGGCAAGCACGAGTGCTGGACAGGTAGCAGACAGACCCGCAGATCGACAGGTAGACATGCAAGCAAATGGCCCAAGTTAGTTCTGTTGGCTGAATGCATACCAGCATGCCAGCGAAACACCGAACTGAACAGAACAAAATTCTCCGAACCTAGTTGAAAACCGACTTGCTTTGCACTCGGCCGCCGGTCCCCTTTTGTTGACTTTTTGGGCTTCGGATTGGCTTTGGTAGGTGTCATGTTTGCACAGTGAAGCTCCATGTCGTCGGAAGCAACCCCAGATGATCCTCAAGTAGCGGTTAATTTAACAACATAGCGTTGTCAGACTGGTTATGACGACAAGATTTTGTCACACCCGCCCAAGTACTCGAGAAATGCCAGTACCACGGCGCCTCCCCAAACACTGGCACGGCAAAGCAAGGAACCCAAATCATGCAATGCATGCGACTGCAAAACTGCTGGCTGGTCTGGCTGGCCACGACGAGGGGCCAACTTATCACGCACCTTCTTCAGGTACACACAACCGTCAACATCCAGATCCGAGGTCGATCTACTCACGGGCTCAACTCGGCGACTTGGGACAAAGGCTGGGTGCACTGGTCCGCCTCGGCCGACGAAGGTGTGCCATTCGAGGCTTGACCTTGTCGCCACAATCTGGAATAGAGTGTGAAGCTTTGCAACAGTAGGGTGTGGTGATGTGACGAGTGCTGAAAGGGATAGCATGTTGGTGGTTCCCTGCTGTGCTGTATCACAAAGCAAAGATCTGTGCATGGCTTAACTCCGTACGTTTATATTCCGAGAAGTTCGGAGACAAATAGGAGTCGCCACACCTTGGAAGTCAATTGTTTCATGGCTCAGTGGCGCAGTTTCGGAGGGCAGTGATTCCCCAATCCCACACAACCGCTGTAGTCTTCCATGCTTTTTATTGGATGTTATTGGGCTGTGGAGCCGCTGTTCTGCGGAGGGGGCATTCTGGCAGTCGAACCATCGGTTTGATAGCTTTGGCTTGCACATTGGTTGGGAGGAGGGTACCATGGGCACCTCTACGGGCCCTCTGGGCCTTTACGGGCCGTGCGGGCTCTACGGGCCCTGCGCGGGCCCTACGGGCTCTACGGGCCCTGCAGGCCTTACGGACGGATTCTACTCTACGGGCATTACGGGTGTATACGAGCTGTATGACTGACTGGTTCTTGGAAAACTACGATTAATAACAATAACAAACATACATACAAACATACATACATAAATACATATGGCGTATCGCAAACGGTCCGGGCATTTCCGATCATGAGCATCAGAGAGCTGAAGCACGGAATGGTGCAAAGCATCACGTCCGGGGGGCTTTGTCTATGAGGTCCCAACCTATGGGCTCTGCGGCCCCGCGGGCCTTGATGGGCCTTGCTGGCCCTACGGGGCTAAGGGCCGAATGCCGCTTAATCCGAGGCACCACCAGCCGCAACTCCAGTCGGAATGTTGCTCGAGCTGCTGGACACCTGAGCGAGTACAGCGCAGAACGCAGCGTCAGATTTACGACAAGCGGCAATAAAACACCACCACAGGCTTTTGCAATAACAGCCTGGTGCTGCATGGCATCGTCTAGTTAAGTCTGCTCTGATGACACCAACCATCGCTTGACGAATCTGAGGGTCAAGTTCAGCAGTCGGCGGATTCGAAATCTTAGCATGGACCTGCAGTCTTCCGGCTTGGACACCAGGAGATGCAACAGCGAATGTCCAATCTCTCCAACGAGCATATGAAGGGTTGAACTCTGCAGGCAAGTCACGGTTGCCAGCTCCTCCGGTGAGGACGGAGAGATCTCCTCCTGCGACGGGCGCGTCGGCCGAGGACCAAAACTGAATCAGGGCGGAAATTATCGAAGGTGTTCTCTATTGTTCCCTCCAGAGCCGAAAGCTCAGGACAAGCTCATGGTCAGCCTTGGCAGGGCTGCCTTGGAGAGCCAGGAGCATGGATGCCACCAGGACCGCCTCAGGGCTTTTTGCATCAGGGCGTGTACAATCGCCTGAATGTCTGACTCAAGAGGAAACAGGGAGCCACATTTTTTTCAGCTCTCTCCGACTCATTGGCTACAGCAACTGCACCGCTTAAGAAATCAGTGGTTTAAGAAATTGAGCCCCTCGGACAGCCGTTCGACAAAAAACATGTACAAACAACATGCAGATTGAAAATAAGAAATCCAGGATACCCTGACCCCGGCGTGCCAATTTCATAGTTTTATACTCTTCTCATGTTTTCTTCGCTGGTTTTGTTTGCGCAAAAATAGAACCAAGAAACAAGGGGCCAGGTGTTTCAAAACCTGGGCACAGACACCCACGGCTTAAGAAGGGCTTAAGAAGGCTTTTCCAGCTACGAACAACAACCAATAACAGACTAGACATAAACTTCTCATTGTGGCGGGGGGTGGGGTTCTGAGCTTGCCCCTAAGGGCTTAATAAGGCCCTGATAACAGCTTGGGAGGGCTCCAACGGCTTTGTAAGGGCTTCAGAAGGGCTCAATAAGGCTTTGTCAAATACGAAAAAACTACGAAAATAAGAAATTGAGGGGTTCGATTTCTTAAACTTAAGAAATGAGCTCAAATTCTTATTTTGGGGGGGTTCTGGTAAGGGCTGAATGCGAGCTGTATAAGGTATGAATCTGCGTTGAGAGCAGCCTAAAGGCCTAAAGGATGCCATGCCCGAGTGGATAAGTGCATATACTACAATGGAAGCTGCTGCGGGCTCAAATCTCTCAATCTCCTCATTTCTTGGGATTCTTTGTGGCTTATTTTGGAGCCCCTTCGAATTAAGCAATTTGGGTTAAGCAATCCAGGGCACCCTCAGAATCCCGAAACGTTGTTTTACGAAACAACCGTGCGCTTCAGAATTACGAAATCGAGGCCCCCCCTCACGAAAAAAATAGCTGTTTCTTAACCGGCGCTGTCGCAGTACTTCGACACCATAGACACCGGCCACTCCCACGACGATCGATTGGAGCTCGGGACACTTGCTGCTGTAATCTACAAGCCCACACTGCCCCACGTTCCGAGAGGAGACGTCCTGAACCAAGACGCAAAGGCCCTTGGAGTGCTTGCAGATGCTTGAGGCGGTGTTGCAAGCATGATTGATGGACAAGTCTTAATTCGGTTCCTTCCTCGAAACGTAGATCTCCCAATTTATCAGTTCGGATCCAAGCTCGCTAGATTGAGCAAGTCCAGGTCTTTCCAGAAAGATCCGGAGCGAATCTACAGAGCGTCGAAGAGGGTCTGCATTTTGAAGCTTGAAGTACAATGCATCAGGATCCCAAATATTTTTCCAGTATTTTTTCCCACCCAAATCATTAATTTATCGGAAAGTCCTGCCGGCACGTTGCATCCCCACTGTAATGTGGATGTAGCTCAACATGTGCTGATGCGCCTCCGGTGTGGCTTCAAGAACATCGTCCGAGAACGGAGCCTGCAGAGGCTTGGGAGGCAGGTGACAGCTGAAGTCTGGAGCACCCCAACACCGTCCTCCAGCTTACAGCCTCAAAGCAGCGAGCAATCTGCCACCGCAACATTTGCACTCGTGCCGAGAGACGAGGCTTGGCAGCACAGTGTAAGTAGCAGTCGGTGGCAGCTTTCCAACCCGGGCCTGCCTCAGTCACACCTGCGATTTCTACGCGGAAGATGTCGATGTGATATCTTAGTGCCAGGCCATTAAAGCAACGACAGACTGACAAAACTGATTCCTCCAAGCAGAGGCGGACGAAGCGAAACGTTTAATACTTTTGCAGCAGTGATGTGAGGATTTCGGTCGGATCTCCGACTCCTCAGAAGCAACACCACCTCCGAATAGACTGACATCTTCAACTATCAAGCAGCGGCGGCGGAGAGCTCTCGCGACGGACGCTGCGAACGTGACCACGAAGGAAGGGAGGCAGCAGCAGCTGCGCAGGAAGTTTGCGGATGTTGGCTTTACCCGAACTTCCAGAGCTTGGGATTTTGCAGGTCAGGAAGATAAGTTTGTCAGCTGGCTTCTGCACGTGAGGTCTTGTTTTATCCTCAGCATCCTAAAGAGAAACAACCGCAAGCATCCAGGGTGGAACGAGAGGTTGCAAAGGATTTGAACCTTACGAGTATGTCTTGAACGTCCTGCTGGTTTCCGCAGTCATGATGTCCATATCTGGATTTCGGTTTCAAGAGACTTGAGGGTTTGCAGGACCGACATAGCCAGCCTGGACAAGCACAAGGAAAAGGTCCAGCACCCTACCCTCCTCTAACAACCGGATGAGGCGATGCTGCAGGACGAAGAACGACCAACACCGCGACATAAGGCCGAAATCCTGGTGCATATGCGTATGCTGCCAACAGTCCCGCCCACCTCCGGTGTGGCACCCGCTGCGGTTCCTTAACATACAGGTAGCCAAGGCTCGGCATCCAGCAAAGTGCTCTCGCAAGCTGAGCATGACATGCTACATGGAAATCAAGTCAGGGCTTTCGGGGCAGTTCAATTCCATAAAGACATGATGAAATCACGAAGTCTCTCTTGCACAAACGATGCTGACGACTCAAGGGTTCTGCAAGCCCCTGGACCTTCCAGACTGCAAGCTTTCGGTCCCACCCCCTCCCCACAAAAAACCTTGAATACAATTTCGTATCTGGGCTCCTTCCACCAAGAAATCCTGCACTTCTGCAGCTTGACACGAGATAGCCGCGTCGAACTCCAGCAGGCACCTGTTACACGAAGCAACAAAGAAAGCGCGAGTGCTTAGACAAACCAGCTGTCGAACTGCCACATAGGACATAGAGCCACGCAACTAATGGTGAGTTCCCAGTTTGTGCAAGGCATGGAGCCATCATGGGACAAGAAGCCAGAATCTCGAAAGGCCCATCCCAAGAGAGACACGAGGACGTATGAGGGCTCAATGCAAAGTACACTGGCGTCACTGGCATCAGCCGTCCGGATGAAGGGAGACATCATGGTCCAAGCCCGGCATCAAGTAAACGACACAAATAGTAATATAGCTCTACTTGTATGAATCCCCATGCAGGGATCCATGCAGCTTCCACGACGGAATGTCAGTCTTTTAATGGCTCGTCCGATTGCCGTGATTCAACAAGCTTGCTGTAGGTTTGTGGTCTACGTGGCTGCGTCGAAGACGAGCTCAGTCATATCTGTGCAGCTTGTCGGGGTCCACCGTAACCCACATATGAGACCAGGACCCGCTGACAGCGGCCGAGAAAAAAAAGACGTGCTTTCATGGATTGTAAACAGAAGCCCGGCGAAGTATCCTGCAGGAAAACTCCGGTTCAGCTGGCCGCAAGGGAGGCCAATTGCATCCAACTACCCCTTCCTGCGTTTCTATCGTCGGCTGTCACTGCAGTCGCTGCATGTGCGGGAAGGACCGCTCTCCGCTCGCAGCACAAGTTTCAACAAGATGTTGCTTGTGATGTTCTTGGCTACTGCCGGAGAACGGCGCACCCCTCGTCCTTTCAATATTTGCGCCAAGCAGCGGTACACAGCCTTGACGCAACTGTCCCAAGCTTTGCCAAGGCTCAGCGCCGCCAACCTCGGTCTTTCGGATGAACAGCGCAGGTCTAATGTTGACCTGCTAATAATAAACCCCCCCCTCCCCCCCCCCCCGCCGTTGATTGATTGCTGGCCCCATCAATGGTGGGTTGACTATTGAGGGGGGTGGGGTCGGGGGTCGGAGTATTATTGAAGGGGGGGTCGGGTGTCGTAGTACAGTAGTGCAGCATCACAATGGTACAGTAGTAGTAAATACAGTATGTAATAGTACAATAGTAGTACAGTAGTAGTATGGTAGTAGTACAGTAGTATTACAGTAGTAGTATGGTTGTAGTATAGTAGTAGTACAGTAGTAATTAATTAGTATAGTAGTAGTAGTAGTAGTAGTAGTAGTAGTAGTACACTAGTGGTACGGTAGTAGTACAGTAGTAGTACAGTAGTAGTAGTAGTAGTAGTAGTATAGTAGTAGTAGTAGTAGTAGTAGTAGTAGTAGTAGTAGTAGTAGTAGCACAGCAGTAACTAGTATAGTAGTAGTAGA